CAAAAAAAAAAAAAAAAAGAAGAAAGAAAGAAAAAATTTTCAATTAATTCTTCGTCGCGATAGGCAATCTTCTGATCATCGATAGTGGATTGAACGAGGGATGGAGCACCCCTATTATACCAAAATTCAAGCAGGACGACCCTTTGAAGGTGTCCGATGACGAAATAGTGTGGGTGGTGAATTTGATGTATGTCGGGGTAGGTCTCGGCTCGATTGTGCCGTTTCTTTTGATGGACAGAATCGGGCGTAAAGGAACGCTGTTGTTCGCCACGATACCAAAGATTGCAAGCTGGATTTTGATCGGCTTGGCAGCCAGCATCGAGCAGCTTTACATTGGCAGATTGATGGCCGGTGTAGGCTGTGGAATAACGTACTCGGTGATACCTATGTACTTGGGCGAGGTTAGCAGCAAAAAGACTCGTGGCCCTTTAGGTAGTATTTTTGTTTCTTTTTTTTTATTTTTATTTTTTTGCTTTCACTTTGGAATTATTTGTTTGCGATATTATACGTGAAAGAGCCGAATCTTCAATATTTGTACATACATTAATTAAATTTTCCTCGAAAAATATTATATCTTTGTTTATAATATTAATCAAAGTGTGCATATATAATATTTGAATTAAAATTTGTAAATATATAAAATTTATTTATTTATTTTTATCTTATTACACTGTTGAAAACGTGTTAAAATTTCCTTATAAAATAGTGTTCAAATATCTTTATAAGTCACTGTACATTAATGGAAGTGAGTTTTAATCGGTTTTATCACGTTACATATTCGAGATTAAATTTGTAAAAGAAAAATACACCGATTTGATTTATATTTCGTTTTCATATGCAATTGCCATTATATAATAAAAGTATAATAAAACAATGGACAAAATGTCCATTATCTTATATCTGGATAATTTCAAGCTTCAAATTGATTACTGCGAATGCTATTTAATTGTATAAAACTGTATGCCATTAAACTCTGAAAGAGTTTACGTGTATACGTATATTATATGAAGTCGGCTATTTCACATGCAATAACCTAATATTTATTGCTTTTTATCATCATCATTTCTTTCTTTTTTCACGATTTAGCATTATTATTATATTTGTTAAATCAATTTTCTATTATTTCTCCAATATATCAATTATTAATTTAAGAATTTTAATTTAGCGAATATTTGAGATTTATAAATAAAATTCCAATGGATAAATACATTCAACCCTGGAATAATACATCTAATTTATTTCACGTAATATTTAAATATTCACTTTTTAACAATCACTGTATCGAAATTGAATTATCAGACATATGCTATATATAAAACTTAACAAACTCTCACACCATCTATTTAACCAAAATATTTAAACGAACAAAACACACAAAAACACACTCACTCCAAAATCTATGAATCTTACTCCAATAAAACCTATTCTTTACATAACACGAAAAAGTACTCAAAGTTCCATTAAAATCGAAGATCACAACGAAGAGGGGGTTGTTAATTCCCTCGCGTAATCAATACTCAACATTCAACTCTCCAAACAGATAAAAGAGAAACAAAAGTTGTCCATCCATCCATCAGGTACCGCGATGGCCGTCCTCCTCAACACAGGGATGATGCTCGCCTACGCGATCGGTTTGTGGACGAGCCGATTCGCCATGTCGATGATCTCCCTCTCCCTACCCGTCGCGTTCCTCGCGATCTTCGTCTGGCTTCCGGAGAGCTCGGTGTTCCTCACCCGGAAGAACAAGCTAACGTCGGCCGAGAGGACGTTGAAGTGGGCCCTGGGCAAGGACGACGTGGTAGAGGAGCTCGAGGAGATAAAGAGGATCGTGGCGAGCGAGGAGAAGAACTCTGAGAGGAGCTTGGCGAGATCCGTGAAAGAGTTGTTCACGAGGCGCGAGAATCGTAGGGCGTTTCGAATAGCCATCATTCTTCTGAGCGCGTTGACGTTGACGGGCGCCGCGCCCCTCCTCGCCTATCAATCGTTCATATTCGTGGAGGCGGGATTCGAGGTCTCGACCAACGTTAGCATCGTG